CAGGCCTTCCTGGAGGACCTCTTGGAGGCCTCGTGGGCTATGTTCGGGGCCTCTGGAGCGCTCTTGGGGCCGTCTTGGGCTATATTGGACCATCTTGGCGATCTTGGAGGCAATATTGGGACTGCTTTGGAGGCGATCTCGGGGCTATCTTGGTCTCTCTTCGGGCCACCTTGGCCGTCTCGGAGGCATCTTGGCCGTCAAGGAGGCCATTTTGGGGCCATCTTGAGTGGCAAGACCCACGAGACACGCACCCCAGCGCGCTGTGCCGAAGCCCCAGGGGGGGTTCGAAAAGAGCCAACAACCTCCTGAACCTCAGCACGCCAGGCACCCCTGTGGCTAACAGCTGGCGGATCTAAGACGCCTACGGCGAATCACCGCCGCCCCCTGCCCTTGCGGAAGCGCCATGTGGCCGACAGCTGGGCCAGAGCTAGAGCTTGGCCAAGCTATCGGGCAAGATGTTCCCCGCGTCGGTTTGGAAAAACTTCGGGGAACGCGTGGGGAGGGGGGGGGGCAAGAAGAGGAGGAGGGGGAGGATCAGGAAAAAGGATGAGGAAGAGGAGGAGGAGGAGGAGGAGGAGGAGGAGGCCTCTTGGGCGCCTCTTGGGGCACTTTTGGGGCCTCCTGGGAGTTTTCTGGGGGCCTCTTGGAGGGTGCTGGGGGGCCTTTGGGGGCTTCTTGGGGACCTTTTTGGCAGTCTTAGGGCGTTCCTGGCGTGTCTGACGCCGTCGGAAGCCGTCTTGGGGGCCTGCCTGGGTCGTCTTGGGGCCTTCTTGGGGCATGACAGGGCAGGACGTTTTGGAGGTTCTTGGGTTGTCTTGGAGGCTATCTTGAGCGTCTTGGAGACCTCTTGGGCCTTCTTGGGAGCCTCTTGGGGCCGTGTCTTGGGCCTCTTGGGCGGTCTTTGTGGGCACTTGGGCCGTCTCGGGCCGTCGGAAGGCATAAAAAAAGCAGATGCCACAATCCTTCAAAAACACATGGCAAATCAATGAGTTTGGCCTATTCGGGCCTTCCTGGAGGCCCTCTTGGAGGCCTCTTGTGCAGTCTTGGGCCATCTTAGGGCCATGTTCGGCCGTCTTGGTGGGCTCCTGGTCCGTCTCACGCCGTCGGAAGCCGTTTGGGGGGCCTCTATGGGCCGACTTGGGGCCCTCTTGGAATGCCCCAGGGCCCTCTTGGAATGCCCTAGGGCCTCTATGGGCCGACTTGGGGCCTCTTGGAACCAAATGTAAAACTCCGTCAAATACTTTAGGAACATCTATGTGTTTGGCTTCTTCTGGCCTTCCTGGAGGCATTCTTGGGGGCCTCTTGGGCCGTCTTGGGCCAGCTTTGAGCCAACTTCGGCCATCTTGGTGGGTTCCTGGCACGTCTGACGCCGTCGGGAGCTGCCTTGCGGGCCTTTCTGTGCCGAATTGGGGCCCTCTTGGGGCGCTTCGGGGCCGTCTTGGAGGCCATCTTGGGCGTCTTGGAGGCCATCTTGGGCGTGTTGGAGGCCTCTTGGGCCGTCTTGGTGCCCTCTTGGGGCCGTCTTGGAGGCCACGTGGGCCGTCATGGGGCCCTCTTGGGGGCCTCTTTGGCGATCTTGGGGGCCTCTTAGGCCGTCTTGAGCCGCATGAACGCCGAGAAGAAGCAAATCCCCAAATCCTTCAAACACCTTAGGAAAATCAATGACTCTTCGGGCCCTCCTGGAGGACCTCTTGGAGGCCGTATTGGAGGCCTCTGGGGAGCCTCTTGGGCCGTCTTGGACTCTCTTGGGCAGTCTTGGAGGCTGTCTTGGACCATCTTGGGCGGACTTGGATGCCATCTTGGACCATCTTGGAGGCCATCTTGGCCATCTTGGACGCCATCTTGAGCCGTCTTGGAGGGTTTTTTTCTGGACTTTGGGGTCCTGGGCAATCCTCCCAGGACCCCGGCGGGACGGGCCGGAGCCCCAGGGGGAGTTCTTTTGGAAAAAGAACCAAAACCAAAACCGAGAGGATCTAGCACGCCAGGCACCCCTTTGCTGAAGCGACAGGGGGCGGCGGATCTAAGACTCCTACGGCGAATCACCGCCGCCCCCTGCCTTTGTGGAAGCGCCTATGTGGCCGAACGTTGAGGCCAGACCTGCCAAGCCATCGGACCATGTGTTCCCCGAATCGGTTTGGAAAGCCTTCGGGGACACGTGGGCATCTTGAATGTCATCTTGGCCGTCTTGGAGGCCTCTTGGGCGATCTTTCGGCGATCTTTGGGGGCTCTTGGGCCGTCTCGGGCCGTTTTTGGCATCTTATGGTCTTCCTGGAGGCCCTCTTGGGGGCCTGTTGGGCCCTTTTGGGCCAGCTTCGAGCCAACTTCGGCCATCTTGGTGGGTTGCTGGCACGTCTGACGCCGTCTGGAGCCGTCTTGGGGGCCTTTCTGGGCCAACGGGGGGCCCTCTTGGGGCGCTTCGGGGCCGTCTTGGAGGCCATCTTGGGCGTCTTGGAGGCCATCTTGGGCGTGTTGGAGGCCTCTTGGGCCGTCTTGGTGCCCTCTTGGGGCCGTCTTGGAGGCCACTTGGGCCGTCATGGGGCCCTCTTGGGGGCCTCTTGGGCGATCTTGGGGGCCTCGTGGGCCGTCGGAATGCCGAGAAGCAGCAAATCCCTAAATCCTTCGAAAACCTATGGAAAATCAATGATTTTGGCCTCTTCGGGCCCTCCTGGAGGACCTCTTGGGCCTCTTGGGCCGTCTGGGAGGCCTCTGGGGGGCCTCTTGGGCCGTCTTAGCCCGTCTTGGACTCTCTGGGGCCGTCTTGGAGGCTGTCTTGGACCATCTTGGGCGGACGATGAGGCCATCTTGGACCATCTTGGAGGCCATCTTGGCCCAACGCCTCCATCTTGGCACCATCTTGAGCGATCTTGGAGGATTTTTTTCCGGATTGAGCACCTTTCCGGGTGGCCGGCGGGACGGGCCGGAGCCCCAGGGGGAGTTCTTTTGGAAAAAGAACCAAAACCAAAACCGAGAGGATCTAGCACGCCAGGCACCCCTTTGCTGAAGCGACAGGGGGCGGCGGATCTAAGACTCCTACGGCGAATCACCGCCGCCCCCTGCCTTTGTGGAAGCGCCTATGTGGCCGAACGTTGAGGCCAGACCTGCCAAGCCATCGGACCATGTGTTCCCCGAATCGGTTTGGAAAGCCTTCGGGGACACGTGGGCATCTTGAATGTCATCTTGGCCGTCTTGGAGGCCTCTTGGGCGATCTTTCGGCGATCTTTGGGGGCTCTTGGGCCGTCTCGGGCCGTTTTTGGCATCTTCTGGTCTTCCTGGAGGCCCTCTTGGGGGCCTGTTGGGCCCTTTTGGGCCAGCTTCGAGCCAACTTCGGCCATCTTGGTGGGTTGCTGGCACGTCTGACGCCGTCGGGAGCCGTCTTGGGGGCCTTTCTGGGCCAACGGGGGGCCCTCTTGGGGCGCTTCGGGGCCGTCTTGGAGGCCATCTTGGGCGTCTTGGAGGCCATCTTGGGCGTGTTGGAGGCCTCTTGGGCCGTCTTGGGGCCCTCTTGGGGCCATCTTTGAGGCCACTTGGGCCGTCATGGGACCCTCTCGGGGGCCTCTTGGGCGATCTTTGGGGCCTCTTTGGCCGTCTTGGGCCGTCGGAATGATGAGAAGAAACACATTCCAAACTCCTTCGAAAACCTAAGGAACATTAATAATTTTGGCCTCTTCGGGCCCTCTTGGAGGACCTCTTGGAGGCCTCTTGGGCCGTCTGGGAGGCCTCTGGGGGGGCCTCTTGGGCCGTCTTGGGCCGTCTTGGTTTCTCTTGGGCCGTCGTGGAGGCCGTCTTGGACCATCTTGGGCGGACTTGGAGGCCATCTTGGACCATCTTGGAGGCCATCCTGGGCCATCTTGGCTGCCACGCCATCGGACCATGTGTTCCCCGAATCGGTTTGGAAAGCCTTCGGGGAACACGTGGGCGTCTTGAAGGTCATCTCGGCCGTCTTGGAGGCCTCTTGGGCGATCTTTCGGCGCTCTTTGGTGGCTCTTGGGCCGTCTCGGGCCGTCGGAAGGCCGAACAGAAGGAGATGTCAAAATCCGTTAAAAACCTAAGGAAAATCAATGTTTTTGGCCTCTTCTGGCCTTCCTGGAGGCCCTCTTGGGGGCCTCTTGGGCCGTCTTGGGCCAGCTTCGAGCCAACTTCGGACATCTTGGTGGGTTCCTGGCACGTCTGACGCCGTCGGGAGCCGCCTGGGGGGCCTTTTCTGGGCCAACGGGGGACCCTCTTGGGGCGCTTCGGGGCCGTCTTGGAGGCCATCTTGGGCGTCTTGGAGGCCATCTTGGGCGTGTTGGAGGCCTCTTGGGCCGTCTTGGGGCCCTCTTGGGGCCATCTCGGAGGCCACTTGGGCCGTCATAGGGGCTCTCTTGGGGGCCTCTTGGGCGATCTTGGGGGCCTCTTGGGCCGTCTGGAGCCGTCGAAATGCCGAGAAGAAGCAAATCCCAAAATCCTTCAAAAATCTCAGGCATTGTCGTGATCTCACGGGTTTCCGATGTATCTTGTGGGCCGCCGCCGTTCTGGTTGCTCAAGTCTTGAGGGATGTGGGAGAGGCTCACGAACCACGCCATTCACAGGGGTGGTCTCCTATCTCACGAGGTGCCCGCAGGTGCCATCTTGTCCCGCCTGTCCCGTGTGCTCGTTGGCGTGCGGGTCGCCAGCTCCTTGCCCAGGGTGCTCGCTGCAGTGCCCAGCGATCCCGCCGTGCGCGGAGGTCGCCCCGGCGGTGTGCCCCTCGCCGCCGCCCTGCCCAACGCCGGCGTGCCCGGCGTGTGGGGCCTGCCCCGCGCCAGAGGCCGCGCCCGCGCCCTCGGGACCGGAGGCGGCGGCGCCTTCGGCGGCGGCCGTGCTGGCGAGCGACGTCGCCATCGACCTGCGCTCCCTGGCCGCGGGCCTGGTGGGCGGCGCGCTGGGTTTCCTGCTCGCCGCCGCGTGCGTCGGCTGCTGCTGTGTCGTGGTGCGGAGGGACGCTCGTCCGCGTGTTCGGCATCCTGCTGGCTGCATCAGTGATGGCGGCGGTGGCGACGAGTCGCTGGGTGTACGTCTTCTACGCAGGCGAGGTGGTGTGGCGCCAGCACTTGAATCTGGTGCGGGTGGCATTGTCCGAGGCTGACCACGTCATCTACACGGCGGAAAGCGATCTCTACATCGTCGCGTTGGACAACAATGCTGATGTGCAGGCGGCGCGGTTCGGTGCCTTCAACCCGCCGCCTCCAGGGATCGCGGGCAACCAGGTGTATGGGTTCAGAGCCGAGCCGACGGATGCGGAGCTGGCCCAGCTCACCTTGGAGGCGGAGCAGATCGCCACCGCGGAGTGCCGCACCAGAGCTGCCGCCATCGGCAACCTCGACCTGCTCACCAACCTGCGGCCACTGGTCGCGCCTGGAGGAGGAGGAGCGGTGGCCCCCATCGCGCCCGCGGGCCCTGCGTTGGGCTTGCTGCGCGGCGCTGCCGCGCTCCCCGCTGGTGCGCCTGGAGGTGACCCCGCTGGGGTGTGGAGGGCGGCCGCTTGCGAGGGCGGATATCGGATTGGCGATGAGGTGCTAGGGCACGTTCCCACGGCAGCTCGAGTCCAGGATCGGGACATTCATGTGCTGCCAGACGACCAGGGCCTGTTCGTGGAGTTGGTGCCGCCAGCCGCCATCGAGACCTTCTTGCGGAAGGCTGTAGATGCGGACGCCAGGATCTTGCCCATTGTTCGAGATTGGCAGGGTCGCCGCGACGTCCCTTGGCACAAGATGGTAGAGATGACCCGCCAGGAGGACTTCGGCTCGGACTGGACGCTGCCGGGCCCGAGGACGGCGGCATGGTGCATGAGTTACCTGCAGCGGGAGGGCCTCGGCATACAGGGCCATCACGAGCACTTCCTGGCAGATCTGCAGGCTCTCCGCCACGGAGTGGGGAGTTCAGGAGCACTACCAGCTGTGCCAGCAGATCAAGGCGGCAACCTGCCAGGACCTCCTAGACGGGACGAACTTGATCAGCATTGAGATGAAGTTTAGGAGGCTCCAGACCATCGAGTTCGCCCACTGGGACAAGGCCAAAGACGCCGAGAGCAAAGGCGTCGGTGGCAAGATGAGTCTGGAGGAGCAGGCCGCTTTTTCTGGGGTCTCACGCTCGACTTCGTCGGTGATGGTCTCTCCAGAGTTGATCGAGCATGTCCGCGGTGACGTTGAAGGAAGCGAAGCTACACAAGAGTTTGCGCCTGGCCCGCGAGGAGCGGGACTCCAGGCGCAAAAATGGCTGAGCATCAGAGCCGTGCTGGCTTCGGAGGGGGGGCCAGCACGAGTACTACACCCCTCCACATGGGCGACCCGAGTGGGCCCTTCTTCCCTCAGGACGTCCACGACATTGGCAGGCGTCGGCCCCGGGACATCTTGCCACTGCCCTACCCTTCGTTCAAAGAGCCGCTGGATAAGGCTTCGGTCAAGGAGCTCGCCAGAGGTACGAGGCAAAGGATTGGGCGAAGGCTTGGTGTCTGTAACGATGTATATGGATGCGTGGACGCTCTCAATTGGCTTCATGACCCGTCCCTCCGTTGTGGTCGTGACCGCGCTGCACGATACGTTGGGCCGTCACTCGCCCAGAGCCAGCGCTTGGCCCACATCTCCGAGTCGGTGCGCAACCTTGGTCCGCCGCCGTCGACTCTTTCTCCCGCAGAAGCGCTGGTGCAGCTTCGCGTGGCCGGGGGTGCCTACAATGTCGAGCAGTCGCCCCTCGGGAGCTACGACCCCGCGGTCCTCTCCTTGCCTGGCGCCAGTACCGCCCCTGTGCCGCTGGCCGACGTGCGGGGGGAGGGCGGGCAAGCCAAGGTCGAACAGTTCGTTCTGCAGAGCTTGATGGATCCGAGCGAGGCCGAAGCCAGGCTGAGGCAGAGCTCTATACCTGTTCCCTACTCTGACCCTCTTCTACGTGATCAGCGGCGCTGGTCCAGTTTTGTTCAGTTGCTGTATGAGCGGCACCTAGTCGACTTCAGCTTGGAGGACGGCGTTCGAGCCGAGATTTTCTTTGTGGAAAAAAAAGGGAGGCCGCCTTCGCATGGTGGCGGGCTGCCGCCGCCCCAACGAGGTGTTCGCCGAGCCCTTGGGCGCGCGGCTCGCGACGGGCGACGCCTTCGGCATGCTGGAGATGGCGGCGGACGACTCTCTCCTGACAGTGGAGGGTGCCGACCTGAAGGACGCCTTCTACCACCTTGAGCTCCCCGAGCAGCTCCGTCCGTGTTTCAGCCTGCGACCTGCGCGCGCTGGCGTCCTGGGCATCAAGGAGGTCGGCGGGGTCGCTGTCGGGGCCTCCACCAAGCTCTACCCGCGCCTCAGGGTCGTGCCCATGGGTTGGTCCTGGGCAATGTGGTGGTGTCAGTCGGTGATGGAGCGAGTGGCAGAAGCAGCAGGCTGCGGTGATGACGCACGACTTCGAGATGGCAGACCTGCTCCCTCTTTGGACCCATCGTGTCACCTTGAGTACGTCGACAACTTCGTGAGCATCGGCTACGACGCGGAGGCGGTTCGGTCAGCTGTGACTCGTGTCATGACGGAGCTCAAGCGCCGAGGTCTGGTGGTGACCAGGGAGGAGCACCTCGGTGACAGCGAGGGCGAGTTTGCGGTGCTGGGTTGGTCCATCACTGCGGCTGGGCGTCTCTCGGCGTCTGCTTCGAGATTGTGGAGGGCGCGGCTAGCGGTGCGTGGTCTTCTGCGGCGTGGCCGGGCCAGTGGTCGCGACCTCGAGCGCGTGCTGGGCCACATCATCTTCGTCACTCTCGCTCGGCGTGAGGGCTTAATTAAGCATCTTCGAGGCGAGTTTCCGCTTTGTCCAGAAGTGCTACCACCAGCAGGTGCCGCTCTGGTCTCAGGTCAGGCAGGAGCTCATGGCCTGGGATGGCGTCGCTCCTTTGCTATGGCGCGATCTCCGTGCTCAGTGGTCGTGTTCCGTCGGCTGCGTAGACGCCTCCCCTTGGGGGTTGGGCGCCTGCGAGGCTGATTGGGATGTCGGCGCTGTTCGGCAGGTTGGTCGCCATAGCGAGCGGTGGCGCCATGGCAGGGCTGAGCGCTTGCCTCCTCGTCGCCGGGCCCTTGCCGCTGAATGTGCCGCTGACGGGGTCGCAGCCTGTGACCTAGGGGTCGTAGCGGCCCAGCTCGATCCTGGCTGTCCGGCGGAGGACAGCCAGCCCGTCGGCCCGCCTGTGGAGCGCGACCTGCTCGCTTTCCCCGAGGTTTCGAGGAAATACCTGGACAAGTCGTTGTGGCGTGTCGCGGGACGTCGCAAGTGGGATCGCCTTGAGGGGATGCCTGTCCTCGAAGCTCGGGCGGTCCTGTACCATGTTCGGCATGCTTTACGGGCCGTTCGGAACCATGGGAAGAGGATGCTTGTCCTGGGAGATTCTCTCGCGTCTGTCTCGGCGGCCTCTCGGACGCGGGCCCACAGCCACACCATGTTGGGGATCATGCGCCGTATTGGGGGCTCTGTCTCTTGCGTCTGGGAGCTCCTTTTGTTTTCGGTGGATACCGTCCGAGTATAACGTCGCGGATGGCCCCTCTAGAGGCCGAGGAGAACCCAGTCTCTCTTTTGCTGTCATTCTAAAGGAGGGCCTCGGCAGGACCCCGAAGTACAAGGTCGGCCTGGACCCCAGAGAGCACGACCCTCCTCAGGGGCCCCATCAAGGTAGGCTACATCGTGACCTAGGTGAGAAAGAAGGAGAGCCCCATGGGGAGCCCGATCAAGGACAGCACGGACCAGCACTGCACGGTTCTCAAGGGCGGGGTCAGCACCAGCACACGCACGAGGAGGTGGGCGAGAAGGTGGTAGAGGAGGAGGAGCGCGGGCACGACGAGGGCCTCGGAGTGGCCTCGCTGGAGGACGTCTTGGGTGCTCATGGTCCGCTTCGCTCTGAGCCGCTGACTGGCCCAAGACCTCTACGTATTCTTCCATATGTTGTCGGCTCTCTGCCTCGTCGCCCTCGTCAGCACTCTGCCTGCCATGTCCGCGGGGCTGTTGCAGGGGGACGCTCGCAATCGACCAGCCGCGGCCGCGAGCTTGCCGCCGGCGGGAGCTTCCCTGGTCCGTGGGGCGCGCAAGGCTGGCTTGCAGTCGCCGACGCTGCCAGTGCTCCAGGCATCGCCCGCGAGCCGCCAGGGCTCGAGCGGTGGCCCCACGCCGCAGCAGCGGGCTCGGCTGATTCAGCCGCCAGCGGGCATGCCAGTGCTCAACGCAGCATCTGTGCGCACGGCGTCGGGGCGTCAGGCTTACCTCTCGATGCTGGCGGGTTTCGACAACTGGACGAGACAGCATCGACGGGCTACGCAGGAGCCTGCTCAGATGGACCGAGCGGTCCGCGACTACATCAGCCATCTCTTCGAGCGGGGGTATCACCAGACCTACGCCAACCGTATGATAGCGGCGGTGGCGTGGCGCGATCCGCGCTATGCCAGAACGGGCCAGTTCGAGCTGCCGCTGTCCAAGCAAGCCGCCAAGGGGTGGCGCAACCTGGCCCCAGCTCGCAGCCGAATGGCCCTTCCGTGCGAGGTCGTCGCCATGGTGGTCAACTACGTGCCCCATCAGCGCGGCGCCCCGGAGGCGCTCGCGATCTGGCTCCTCTTCGAGATCTACGGCCGCCCAGGCGAGATCCACGGGCTTCGCCTGCAGGATGTGGTGCCGCCAGCGCCTTCCGCGTCAGGGGCTCACCGCTACACCTCGGTGACGCTCCACGCGCCGGAGGTCGGCGACGTCTCGAAGACGGGGGAGTTCGACGCGGCGATCCGTCTCGACCTCGAGCGCCGGGCAGGCCTGGCTGCGGCGCTGCTGGCGATGGCCGCCGCGCGGCGCCGCGCGGGAGCGCCGCCCTGGGCGCCGCTGTTTGCAGTCGACCAGCGCAGTGTGGCCAACGCATGGCGTGGGGCTGTCACCGCCCTCGGCCTCCGGAAGCTGGGTGCCTGCCACGTCTACCAGCTCCGCCACTCAGGCCCAAGCCACGACTACGCCTACGCAGCAGGGCTGCGCGACCTGGAGCAGATCAGGCGGCGTGGGCGCTGGAAGAGCTGGAGCTCAGTCCGCAGGTGCGAAAAAGGAGGCCGCCTGACCGAGCAGCTGCACAAATTAGGAGGGCCGCAGCGAGAGCACGCGGAGGCCTGCGCGCGCTTGCTGAGCCGTGCGTCGCACGGCCTGCCCTCAGCGTTGGTGCCAGTTTGCCCGACCCGCCAGTGATCTTAGAGTTGTTCTCTGGCTCAGCAGGATTCTCGAAGGCGGTCGCTCAGCTGGGCATGCCAGTTTTGATGTGGGACACTACTTTAGGCGAGAGATACGATCTCGCCCGACCGTGTAATCGCTCGCTGCTTTCGTCATGGATCCGTGCTAGCCGAATCAGGGGTTGGCATGCGGGTGTACCCTGCAACGCGCTGACCAGGTGCCGCGATCATGGGGTCGGGGCGCCGCCTGTACGATCCGATCTCCACCTCTTTGGCCTCCCGAGCCTCCCTCCTCATTTGCAAGCGATTGCCGATGTATCCAACATCCTCGACAGGTTTGTTGCCAATCTCGCTGGTGTTTCACTTTCGTTACGTGTGCCCTGGAGTATCGAGAACCCTAAGACTTCTCGGCTGTGGCTCTTCCCACGCTACAAAGCCCTAGTGCGGCGCCGCGCTGTCTCTTTCCACGTCACCTCTATGTGCCAGTGGGGTGCGGCTTGGAAAAAGGGTACTGGCCTTCTCCTCGGGGACCTTGACCCGGGGCCGTTCCGTGAGTCGCGGTGCATGGGATCCAGGCGTGGCATTTGCTCTCGTACGGGTCGTGCTCACGAACAGCTGCAAGGTTTTTTGCCTTCAGGAGGTTTCAAGACCAAGAGAGGGGCAGAGTACCCTCGAAAATTTTGCGTCGCCCTCGCTCGTCTCTTTCACAATGCCGAGGTCAGAGCTTCCGCAGAGGTCATACAGCGATCGTGTGGTTTGTGGGTCTCTTTTCTTCGGCGATGCCAGCTTGCTCTGCAAACTCGGGAGCATGTTTGGTGTTATGTTCTGGGGTTGAGCGCTCACCCCAGGACTTGAGCTTGCCTGTGCCTCGCTCGGCGGTCTCGACGGCTGGATTCCGCCCGTGCTCAGTCTCTTGCAGTTGCTGGCAGAAACAAGAGCCCAAAGGATTGTCGTGATCTCACGGGTTTCCGATGTATCTTGTGGGCCGCCGCCGTTCTGGTTGCTCAAGTTTTCCGCCTCCTCCTCTCCTCCACCGCTTTCTTTTCACTCAGGTGTTATGTTCTGGGGTTGAGCTCTCACCCCAGGGCTTGAGCTTGCCTGTGCCTCGCTCGGCGGTCTCGACGGCTGGATTCCGCCCGTGCTCAGTCTCTTGCAGTTGCTGGCAGAAACAAGAGCCCAAAGGAAATCAATGATTTTGGCCTCTTCGGGCCCTCCTGGAGGACCTCTTGGAGGCCTCTTGGGCCGTTTGGGAGGCCTCAGAGGGGCCTCTTGGCCCGTCTGGGGCCCTCTTGGACTCTCTTGGGCCGTCTTGGAGGTGTCTTAGACCATCTTGGGCGGACTTGGAGGCCATCTTGGACCATCTTGGAGGCCATCTTGGGCCATCTTGGCCATCTTGGAGGCCATTTTGGAGTCGTCTGGGGCAGAAAATTGAGGTCGTGGAAAAAATCCCGGGACCCCGGCGGGACGGGCCGAAACCCACTGGGAGAGTTCTTTGGGAAAAAGAACCAAAACCAAAACCGATAGGGTCTGGCACGCCGGGAACCCCTTTGCTGAAGCGACATGGGGCGGCGGATCTAAGACGCCTGCGGCGAATCACCGCCGCCCCCTGCCTTTGTGGAAGCGCCTATGTGGCCGAACGTTGAGGCCAGACCTGCCACGCCATCGGACCATGTGATCCCCGAATCGGTTTGGAAAGCCTTCGGGGAACACGTGGGCGTCTTGAAGGTCATCGTGGCCGTCTTGGAGGCCTCTTGGGCGATCTTTCGGCGATCTTCGGGGGCTCTTGGGCCGTCTCGGGCCGTCGGAAAGCCGAAAAGAAAGAAATGTCCAAATCCGTCAAAAACCTAAGGACAATCTATTGTTTGCCCTCTTCTGGCTTTCCTGGAGGCCCTCTTGGGGGCCTCTTGGGCCCTTTTGGGCCAGCTTCGAGCCAACTTCGGCCATCTTGGTGGGTTCTTGGCATGTCTGACGCCGTCGGGAGCCGTCTGGGGGGCCTTTCTGGGCCAACGGGGGACCCTCTTGGCGCGCTTCGGGGCCGTCTTGGAGGCCATCTTGGGCGTCTTGGAGGCCATCTTGGGCGTGTTGGAGGCATCTTAGGCCGTCTTGGGGCCCTCTTGGGGCCATCTTGGAGGCCACTTGGGCCGTCATGGGGGACTCTTGGGCGATCTTGGGGGCCTCTTGGGCCGTCTTGAGCCGTCGGAGTGCCGAGAAGAAGCAAATTCCAAAGTCCTTCAAAGACCCAAGGAACATCAAGGATTTTGGCCTCTTCGGGCCCTCCTGGAGGACCTCTGGCAGGCCTCTTGGGCCATCTGGGAGGCCTCTGGGGGGCCTCTTGGGCCGTTTTGGGCCGTCTTGGAGGCCGTCTTGGACCATCTTGGGCGGACTTGGAAGCCATCTGGTGCCGTCTTGGAGGTCATGCTGGCCGTCTGGTGTGGCCGAACGTTGAGGCCAGACCTGCCAAGCCATCGGACCATGTGTTCCCCGAATCGGTTTGGAAAGCCTTCGGGGAACACGTGGGCGTCTTGAAGGTCATCGTGGCCGTCTTCGAGGCCTATTGGGCAATCTTTCGGCGATCTCTGGGGGCTCTTGGGCCGTCTCGGGCCGTCGCAAGGCCGAAAAGAAGGAAATGTCCAAATCCGTCAAAAACCTAAGGAAAATCAATGTTTTTGGCCTCTTCTGGCCTTCCTGGAGGCCCTGTTGGGGGCCTCTTGGGCCCTTTTGGGCCAGCTTCGAGCCAACTTCGGCCATCTTGGTGGGTTCCTGGCACGTCTGACGCCGTCGGGAGCCGTCTGGGGGGCCTTTCTGGGCCAACGGGGGACCCTCTTGGCGCGCTTCGGGGCCGTCTTGGAGGCCATCTTGGGCGCCTTGGAGGCCATCTTGGGCGTGTTGGAGGCCTCTTGGGCCGTCTTGGGGCCCTCTTGGGGCCATCTTGGAGGCCACTTGGGCCGTCATGGGGCTCTCTTGGGGGCCTCTTTGGCGATTTTTGGGGCCTCTTGGGCTGTCCTGAGCCGTCGGAATGCCGAGAAGAAGCACATTCCAAAATCCTTCAAAAAAACCGAAGGAAAATCAATGATGTTGGCCTCTTCGGGCCCTCCTGGGGCGCTGTGGCGCATTGGCGCTCAGAAGCTGAGCGACGTACTGGCGCGCAGGCAGTTGAAACTCCTGGGGCAAATTGCCCTGATGCCAGGGAACAGCCCCGTGCGAAGGTGCAGTTTCCAACCTGGCACTTTCGAGCTCGTGCAGGCTGGGGCTCGCCGCAGGGGGCGGCCCCGCAACACGTGGAAGTTTCAGGTGTACGACTTTGCTTGCCAGACGGCCGGCGGCGAGGAAGCGTTGCACGCCTTGTGGCATCAAGGGCAGAACGTTTGATTGTTTTTGGTGTGCGAGTTTTATGATGCTGATTTTTATGAGTGATTTTGGGGAGGAGTTGCGAAATGACGAGATTGGCAAGCCTTCCCTGTGCATGGAGCCAGCGACGCCGGAGGCTTCGCATCGCATTTCGCTGTGGTTTTTTGCCAATACACCTCTGACGTGCACGGTTTCTCTCTCTCTCTCTCTCTCGGGCCCTCCTGGAGGACCTCTTGGAGGCCTCTTGGGCCGTCTGGGAGGCCTCTGGGGGGCCTCTTGGCCCGTCTGGGGCCCTCTTGGACTCTCTTGGGCCGTCTAGGAGGCCGCCTTGGACCATCTTGGGCGGACTTGGAGGCCATCTTGGACCATCTTGGAGGCCATCTTGGCCATCTTGGGGCCATCTTGGAGCCGTCTTGGGCAGAAAATTCGGGCCGTGGAACAAATCCCGGGACCCCGGCGGGACGGGCCGAAACCCATTGGGAGAGTTTTTTGGGAAAAAGAACCAAAACCAAAACCGATAGGGTCTGGCACGCCGGGCACCCCTTTGCTGAAGCAAAAGGGGGCGGCGGATGACGGAAAGCGCGCGTTAGCGTGCGGTCCGTTAGTCGGAAGAAATTGGACTTGGGGGAGTTCGAGGGGGTTGGCATCCGCGGGCCCGGATCTAATTGCCCTCCCGCTTCGTTTTTTATCGAGTAGGACGGCCTTCGCGGCTTAAAAACAGCGTTTCGCTCGAGACATCATCGGAGAACGCTTCTTGGGCGCTTCTTGGGCCGTCTTAGGCGCCTAAGGCAGCCCAAGAAGCGGCCAAGACGGCGCCCAAGACGGCCCAAGACGGCCCAAGACGCGCCCAACACGGCCCAAGAGCGCTCCAAGAGAGCCCAAGACCGCCCAAGGCGGCCGAAAGACGTCCCAAGAGGCCTCCACGACGCCCCAGGAGGTGCCCACGAGGCGTCCCAAGAGGGCCCCACGAGGCCAAAATCATGGATTTTCTTAAGGAAAACGTGCATTTCTAGCATATACGGCTTTTCGCCTTTCATGGCGTTGAAGACGGTCCAAGAGGCCCCAAAGACCGCCCCAAGACGGCCCAAGATGTTCCCAAGAGGCCCCCCAAATAGCCCAAGAGGGCGCCAAGACGGGCCAAGAGGCGCCCAAGACTGTCCAAGAGGCCCCTAAGAGCGCCCCAAGAAGGCCCAAGAGGCCCCCAAGAGGGCCCAAAAACGGCCCAAGAGGGCGCCAAGACGGCCCAAGAGGCGCCAAGACGGCCCAAGACGGCCCCAAGACGGCCCCAAGAAGGCCCCAAGAGGCCCCCAAGAGAGCCCAAAGACGGCCAAAGGCAGCCAAGTCCCTTCACCCCCGCCGCCCAGAAGCTCCCAGGAGGCCCCAAGAGGCCCCGGAGAAGCCCCAAAAGGTCCCCAAGAGGCACCCAAGAGGCTCCCCAAGAGCCCCCCAAGAGGCCCATAATACTCCCAAAGGCTCTTAGCACCGCGGCTCCCAAGAGCGAGCGGTGACGTAATCGAGCTGATAAGACCAAAGCTCCCAACAGAGAGCTGCGGCGTAATAAGTTCTTGACGACAGTGCACAGGGACGGGCGGCAACGCGTGGACAACGAGCGGTCCACGCAAGGAAAACGCGGGGTTCTGGAAAGCTGGCAGCCCAAACGCGGAAAACGCG